CTCCCAGGTCAGCAGACCAGGGAGACGGAGCAAAGCCGTGGAGGACTTGGGCGGTCCCGCCACCTGGGTCTCCCTGGTCTGCTGGGGGGGGGGGCGCAGCCCCAGCTGCACCCCCCCAGCAGACCAGGGTTTTTTTTTAATCAAAAACCATTCTGGGGGGGTCCAGCAAAGCCGCTGGACCCCCCCCCAGCAGACCAGGGACACCCGAGCAAAGCCGCCGCCTGGGTGGCTTTGCTCATTTGCCCGGGAGCAAAGCCGCCCAGGCGGCGGCTTTGTTCGGGTGTCCCTGGTCTGCTGGGGGAGTCCAGCGGCTTTGCTGGACCCCCCCAGCAGACCAGGGAGACCGGGAGAAGCTTTTCTTGCCCTGGAGGACACGGGTGGCGATCCGCCGCCCGTGAGCTCCGGGGCGAGAAAAGCCCCGTTCGTAAGTGCAGATCCGACATAAGTCGGATCCGCGTAAGTCGGGGACTGCCTGTATTGCAAATAGGAAGAAAAAGTATAGATCAGTGAGCAACAGGATATTTCATTAAGCTGCTGTAAGTGCTAAGTTGTTTTCATTAATTTAAAAAATATGATGCTAGATTGCAGGTCTTCTCCTGTTGAAGACTTTCTTCTTGGGCAGGAGAAATTAACACTGAGAGGTACAGTACTCGAAGTAGTACTCAAAGCATAAAAACTATATCCAGATGTTTTCTTTCCATTCCAGTTTTCTTGTATAAACATTTTCTGGTTCTAATAAATTCAGAAGTTTGAATTTTGTAGGAGATGGTCAAGATACTGCCCAAACAACTCCCCGCTTCTCAAATTCTTGATGAATAGCTTAATTTTTTTAAATGTTCAAAGAGGGTTATAGAGCAAAATAACATTGCATATATTATTTAAAAGAATTAGTTCCTTTGTAGCCTGTTTTGGAGTTTGTATGTGCTAACTTCCTGCAACTCCTGTGTAAACAGTTCATTATCAAGAAGTCCCTAGAAAATGATTTGATGTTCCACAGATACAAATAAAATCTCACGTTGATATAAAAAATCAGTTGCAGATTCAGTTACATTACTCTTTTCTTATTTTACGAAGTGAGTACATTTCATTATCTTTATTGTACAGGCTTGCAAACAAGTTGAAAAGTGAACCACTTAAATCAGACTTTACAATAGATTTAAAACATGAGGTAAGCCATGTTCTATTCCTGTGAAAAGTGTACATAGACTATATATTTCTTTGCCTTCCTTTTCAGTATTATAATATGCAGTATTTTAAAAGTTTTATTGTTACAAAATGTCGGTGGTACTACAAATAAAGCTGAATTTGTATTGTGATAGTTTTCAAGAAGGAATCACTTTTTGGGTGTTAGCTATGGAAAAAAGAGGTTCCCAGCTCATCAAATAGAAAAGTTTGCATTTTCAATCTCTTCTTCTATACCCTTTATTAGGGCCCTACCAAATTCATGGTCCATTTTGGTCAGTTTCAGAATCGTAGGATTTTACAAAACACAAATGTAATTATTTTAGCTATTTACATCTGAAGTTTTACAGTATTGCCATTTTGGACATCCTGACTTCAAAAGGAGGTGGAGGGGTCACAAGTTTATTGTAGGGAGGGTTGTGCTATTACTACCTATACTTCTGCACTGCTGCAGGTGGTAGCACTGACTTCAGAGTTGGACAGCTGGAGAGCGGGGATGCTGGCCAGGAGCTGAGCTCTGAAGGCAGATTTGCCACCAGCAGCAGTGCAGAAGTAAGGACAGTAGGATATGATATTTACACCCTCACTTCTGTGCCACTGCCTGCGGAGCTGGACCTTCAGTTATCAGCCACCTCTGTTTGGCCTTCCAGTTTTGAAGGCAGCACTGCAGAAGTAAGGATGACATGGTATGGTATTGCCACCACTTACAGGAGACCCTCACGATTCATGGAATCAATATTCACAATTTCACAGGTTTTTTTCCCATTCCCCCCATTGTACCCCGTCCCCCAGCCTGTGGAGGTATACAGCTTTGGAGGGGCCTGTTGCCGGAAGGCAGCAGTGGTCAGGGCTCCCTCTGCCTGCAGCGAGTTCAGGAGCTGTGTGGCACTCATGTAGTTACCAGTCCCCACAGTGAATTTCCCATGGCTTTCAGCAGCCAAGGTGAATTTGGGAGCCCTGCAGGGAGCTCTCTGCAGGGGCCAGGAGCTACCCCCCCTCCCAGTATTCGTAGATTTTGCCATTCCCAGTGGTGCCAAAAACGCATCTACTGCGAATGGCACGGGTTTAATGTACTTCTGTACTGCTGCTAGTAGGAGGCTGCCTTCAGAAACAGACGCCTCTCTCCAGCTGCCACGCTCTGAAGTAAGTCCAGAAATAAGGGTGGCAAAACCAGGACATCCCTAAAATAACCTTGTGACCCCCCTGCAATGCCCTTTTGGGTCAGGACTCCCAATTTGAATAACATTGGTTTCCCCTGTGAAATGTGTAGTATTGGGTAAAAGCGTATATATAAGACCAAATTTCATGGGGGGAGAGACCAGATGTCATGGTCCATGATGCATTTTTCATTTCTGTGAATTTGGTAGGGCCTTACCAATTAAGAATTGTCTCGTATCAATATATCACTGACATTGAATTTCAACCTACACTAAATTATTATGATGGTAGTTGGCAGCAGGAAGCATTTTGTGAGGCCTGATTGTGATTTGTGTGTATGTGTTATTCAAGCAGTACAGCCAATTCTGGTCAAACAGACTTGGGAACTTGTGGAAATGTGGGAGGAATGGAAATCCATTATTGTTTTTCTTTTAGAGAACGAAGGCACAGTAAGATTAAGGTCAGAAGTGTCCACTAATTTTTGGAACCCATCTTGAGATGCTGAGGTCCTGATTTTTCAAGTCTACTTAGGCTTTTTATAGCACTGCACATGTTCAAAGAAAGTTTCCAGTCAACTTCAATGTGCACCAATTCTATAAATCTAAAGTACTCACTTTTAGTGACCAGCAATGATTATGTTGGTTTAAGTGACTTCCTAGCACTTACAGATTCAGTAGAAAATGGATTTCAACATAAACTGAAGAGTGATTTAATTTTCCTTTACCTTAGTGTGGCATAGGATACAGTTGGGTGAAATTGTGTAAAACTATGCCAAGTTGGTTAGATGTGCAATGGCTGTGTTTTTTGGTAATCACCATTTCCGTGTGCAAATTGGTGATGGAACAAGTTCTTGGAAGCATCAGAAGAACAGTCTCCTGCAAGGATCAGTATTATCTCCAATGTTGTTCAACTTATATTCAAACAGCCTACTATATAGTGGGTCTCACAAAGCTGTTTATGCAGACAGTGTATGCCTCAGTGCTCAGTCATACTCCTCTGACATGTATGAGAGTGTTGTGAGTGCAGATATGGTGGGTTTGGTCAATTGTCATCTGTGGTGCCCAAGAGTGACTGTATTGATTATCTTCCATTCGATCATGCACAAGCTGACAGAGAACTGAATATAGTTTTCAGTGGTCAGTGAACTAAAGCATGATTTACATCCAGCTTATGTAGGCATCACATTGGATAGAAATCTCAAGCATCGTGACCATCTTACAGACTAATATTAAGGTCAAAACACACAACAACCTACTCAGAAAACTGCTCAGAACTGCACCGATGCTCAAACATTATGCACATCAGCCTTGGCATTCTGTTATTCAGTAGCAGAGTACTGCATTCTAGCAAGGGCTTGCTAGTCTCAAACAAAGATAATTGACGTACTAATGAATTCTACCATGCATATTATTTCAGGCACTCTTGAATCTACTCCTCTACATGGTTATCAGTTTGCTGCAATATTGCTCCACCCAATGCATGGAGAGAGGAAAACATTGCAGAGTTTGTGATGAAATTGTGTGTTATTGAATTAAAGACTTGTTTAATTCACCACATGGTCATTTGCCCTCATCACACCAGTTATAGATATGTTTTCCAGATGAGGGATTTACAGTAAAGAATGCATGGCAAGCTTCAGGATCCATAGAAAAGTGGCAAGTAATTATCTTGGATCCCACTCAACATCAGCCTTGGTTTGATATATCACAAAGGTGATGGAGATTTCTGAACCAGTTTCCTACCAGACATGGAAATTTGTGCTGCAGTGGAATTTCAGTGGTGTTTTAGAGACAGACCACGTCAGAGTGGGCAGCCACAGACCATGACACGTAGAACGGTGCAGAATGACTCAACTTCCTTGAGGTATTGTTGCCATCAACATGGTTGATGAGAGTGCTGTGGCTTGGCTTGACTGGATTGCATATTCTAAATATAGTGACTTTTCCAGCATCACTTAGGAACTCTGTAGCAGAAGCAGGGATAGAATTCAATCCTCTGTATTAATATTTAATTTTCTTAACTAGGAGACTGTACTTTCTCTTCCTGCATTTCCCTGCCTCATTCATTATCTATGTTCCAGTTTCTGCAACAAATAAGGCAGTTTCCTTCACTGCACAACCTTGATTTCTTCTCAGAACACTTCTGTCTTGTGGACTGAATGAGCTAGGGATCTTGGAGGAGAACGGGAAGAGGAAGTAGTATGTGAATATGTAATTAAAAACTATATTTTAATGCATCCATTCAAAGGAGCCTAATGAAGATTACACAGGCAAACTTAGTCTTGGCATTCACTATTTTGGAGTGCTTGACTTGGCATCCTAAGGTAGTTTTTAAAAATAATTTTCAAAGTATTTTTTTTAAACCAACGGAGACAGAAATTCCATCATGAGGAAGGATCCCCAACTTGGATCATCATTTATTTAGGAGCATGGTGTCCCAACCAGTTCTCAAATAGTCACATTGTTCAAGCCAGCTAGCCACATTCAACTGGCCAAATAGCCATATGTGACTAGTGGCTAGCATGTTGGACGCCAACAGATTTAGGACTTATAAATAAAGTCTGATAATATTTTTATCGTTCTGATAATCTTTCAATTTACAATAGACAAAAGGACCTTTTAGTACAACTGCATGGAAGTTCAGTGTTCATCTTTAAGTATTTTAAATTGTTATTAGAGAATGGGTCCATTTTCAAATCTGTTTATGGTTGACATTAAAACAAACAGAATTAAACATTCCATATTATCAAAGTAATTGTGAAGCAATATAAAAATAAGCTTTATTGTATGTTTAAGAGTAGTTGCAGATGAATTCATTCAATCCCCTTCCTTCCTCCTATACCTTGGCTTTTTGTTATATATTTATACTTACAGTGTTTTGGCAGCTTGGAGTGCCATAAGCTAATTATTTTTAAAACTTTCAAGTTATGGCAGTGAGGTTTTTTTAAGTAAAAATTGTGATTTAGTTTTAAAATCAAACTGCAAAGTAAATAATAAATTAGTCAATTCATATACACAGTCTCCACAGAATCCTCTTTTTTACCCATTTATTTTGTCATGTTGTGTAATTTGCTTTATAACAATGATTTCTGGGTGTATTATGAAAAGTGTTGTTTAATTCTATGACTCATTACTACTTATTTTGTATATTTTGATAGATTGCATTATATATTTGGCAGAAAGGCAATGGACCACATCTCACTCCAGTGCCTGAATTTTGTACAGATGATTTGAACTCTCACTGTGCCACAACATTCAATAACTTCCTACCAGTTTGTGTAAGTGTCATATTTTAAATTATACTTACATGCTAGAAAGAGCATTGTTATTATAAAGGCTGAAACTTGACTTACCTAGAAAAGTATTTTTACCAAAACACCTATGGAATGCCAGACTCCCAAGGTCTCTTATACACCCAGCCTTACGTTACACATTGTATTTCCTGATGTGACCGATTTTAAAGTACTTGTGTTCCCCATTACTAGAGTATCTAAACATTATTCTATGTGCCCTTTAGTAGGAATTGATAACAAAAGACACAGTGATATTATTATGAGTGTGAGTGAGTGGATAGAGCAGTGCACCATGGCACAGGAGTCCTGGACTCTATTCCAGGCTCTTCCACTTGCCGGCAGTGTGGCCTTGAGCAAGTCATTTCACAGGGAAGACTGTTTGACTGACTCGTCATAGCAAAAGCTCTTTCCAGCAAGTTGAAACTTACATAAAAGGGGCCTTGCTCCCACTACAACACTACATCTGGAAATATCTTAGGAACAAAGACTGAATTGGATAAGGGGGGGTCTGGGTGGGACAGAATAATTCCAGCTTGTGTATGCAAAAGCTGTAACTTGCTTGTATTAGTTATCAGGATGAGATTCTGCTTGATTCAAATCCTGTATAATTTTATTTGGCTTAGTTTGCATTTCTGTTTCTTAGGTAATATACTTAGAGCTGTATACTCACTACTTATAATCACTTAAAATCTATCTTTCTGCAGTTAATAAATGTTTTGCCTTTTTTTACTGAAACAGTGTTTTGCTAGAAGACCTTGTGGGAGATGGTCAGGAACAAAATCTGTTGCACTGTCCTCTCTACATAGAGAGAAAGGTGGACTGAGAAATAAACGTACAGGTCAGGCTTTTGACAGAGCAAGACAATACATCTCTGGGGTCCTAGGCTGTGGAGCTGGGGGAGAAGCCTCATATAACTGCAGGTGGTTGTGTGTCAGCCTGTATAAAGGTGTGTGTGAATGCAGAACCAGAAGTGGTCCACAGCTTTTTATAGCCTTCCACAGTGTGAGAGGGGGCTCAGATTGGTATGGCAGAGGGCTCAGTGGTACCCCAGTTCTAGGTTGCACCCCAGAGGGCCAGTTGCATCAAGTTGATCATTTCTTGGCTTTGGGCTGTCTTACTCTGGTAAGATAACATGAAATTTTCATCCCGTGATGAGGGGGGGAAGGCTAATGTAACATTAAACCATCTTTGTGACCTCCGGAGTCCTAAGGCCCATCTATGGAATGGCAGCTTCCTGTAGCTATCCTGTGGGCTGTAACCCTCAATGCTTCCCAGATAACATGGCCTTTATGCCATTATTTCTGAGGTGGTCCTAAGAAGGCAGATTTATGTCGGTCTTCCACGGTATATATTTTGGAAGAATCCTCCCCCAGGCAGATCCACTGCTTTTAGAGATCTGTTATATGTTTTGGCCCTTCTACCTGTATAAAGGGGATAGAGTTGGATAATGTTCTCAACCTGTCGGTTTGTGCTGGACAGGTTGAAACAGTAGGAGTCTGGAGACCTGTCCTTTATGCAGCACCTCTGCTGATTCATTGTGAGACTTTGGGCAAGTTCTTTAACCTCTCTGATGCTTTCTTTCACTGTCTGTAAAATTGTCTATATAAAGCACTTGGATTCTCTCAGTACAAACATGCTGTATAATTACAAAATAGTATTAATAAGGCATTTTTAAGTAAAATACTCAGTGGAAAATAAAATATGTATACTACCATGTTATTTAATGTCTAGTGAGATAACATCCTGTCAACCAACTCACTATTTTCATATAGTTTTTCAACAACAAATCTCCACTTAGTGATTTCTTCTCTTATGCTAGCATGTGATCATTTAAAAACAAATGCAAATAATGAAAATCCCAGAACACCTAAACAGACTATAACAAAGCAAAAAGAATTGTAAATGGTATGTTTATTGCTTTTCTGCTTATCTGCTTTGTCTTGTAAAACAATGCTTTTCTAGTAAATATGTTCCCTTTCCATTGTGTTATTTTCCCATTACCCAGCACTGTCATTTATCAGTGTGTTTCTAATTTAGATTTTAATTTCCTGGAGACAGGTGTGCTTTAAATGCTTTGCACAACAATAATTATATGAATGTATTTAAAATATCTGTATGCCAGTGAATGCCGCATAACTTTTGAGTATTGTTAGACCAAAACAGTTTTTTCTGATGTGTAATCCTTTTAAATTTCTGCTTCCCAGCATCCTGCAGTTTCTACATCACAGCAATTATTTTGTTACAAAGCTGACCAAACAATTGTGACATTTTATCAGTGTTATAAAATAAATAGGACTTAGTGTATTTTCTTAATGATTTGTGTTTGTGGCTCCATTATAATACTACATAATTTGAAAACAATCTTTGGCCAATGTTGTTTCAAGCATGTGAAAGTACTGATGCCATATCTTGATAGGTAAAAAAATATTTTGAACTGTCCTATTTGGCACTGCTACTTCATACACTATACAATGCAAAGTTATTTTCTGTTTTATTTCCAAAATATTTGTATGCAATATAAAGTTAAAAGCAGAACCAACAATTACCTCAATAATTTTTCCTGTTTCCTTTTAGGGAGACCCAGTGAAGAAGGAGGATATATTTGTTGCTATAAAAACATGCCAAAAATTTCACAGAGACAGAAGTAAGTTCTCGATTTTTCAAGAAGAAAGCATTATGTAGTGCAAATAAATAAAATTACCTTAATAGTTAATAAAAAAGCTAACATGCTAGGGTAATTGTTTGTTATATGTAATTCTTATAACTAAATATTTGTGAAATCTCTGGGGAAATACAAAAGCTGAACAGTTTCAATTTTCAGAATTTAAATTGTTTGGTTTGTAGATTAAAAAAAATATTGCAAAGCTGTTCAGGAGCTGATGCTATGAAGTGTGATGAAAACACACAGGTAAATAAGTTTTTGTCCATCAAGAGTGACTGGTTAGTTTTCAAAGTTGAATGCATAAAGTTAGTCTAATAAAAGTGCTGCACATCCAGCATTTCTTACTTTCCTCCATAAATATTATTAATTACTGACCTTACTGAAAGCTGATGGATATGGACCACTTATTTAAGCTCCTGCTTATGGATTGAGGAGCCGTGGTTTAGGTACATAGGATCTGATTTTCAGATGTACTGAGGTCCTACAAGACCAATTTAAATAAATGGGAGCAATGGGTATTCAGTACTTTTGAAAATCAGGTCCTCAGTTTTAAAAATATTGCCATAGTGAACCAGATATCATTGTGTTTTGCTGTGGAATATTTGAGTTAGTTCAGTTATTTGTGTGTACAGTCTAGTGTTAACTTAATAAAGCAAGGTTTACAAGATTCCATAATAGACCCACCTTTTAAACCATTTATAAAACTGCTCAACTTTTTCATGCTTTAAAAATACCAAGCTTAAAAATATTCCTTCAATCCCAAGTAGCTCAAACAAATGTGCTGTACTCTCATATTTCTCCCTCTTAGTCAGGCATTGCATAACCAGAAGCAAGCAGCCATGACAACAGCCTTTGCAGGCAAACAAGCCAGAAGCCAGTAGCAAGTGGTCTTCCTACTGTTCATTTTGGCTGGTCTCCCCACTCGTCTTCAGAACTCTTCTCAGGACCTTTCTGGCAAATCATAATGGGATTCTCCTGTTCTAAGGCTACTGGCAGGAGCAAATTAGGTCACTTTTATGCAAAGTACCTCCCCATTCCAATAATTTAAAGTTCAGGAAAAATCTATAGATCCAAAATATACCCAATGGCTTGGTCAACAGTTTAGGTGCATTTTTATGAGACATTTCAGGTCATGGGTCAGTCTACAGTAGTGGTGGGCAGCCTGCTGCCCATCAGAGTTCTATGTGTGGTCCACAGGACGTTGTTTGCCTAGCAGTATTGAAGTGACATTCTGATTTCACACAACATTGACTGTGAGAGCCGTGTGCTCCCTCTGCATCCAGTCAAAGTGCTGCAATTGTTCAGTTGGCCCACTCCGCAAATTCTAGGTACACAAGCACGGGAAATAATCTTGGTTACAGCAATATTTCAGCCCATGGAGGGCCACTCATGAGACCCACTCACTAGCCTCGATTGCCAGTTACTGGTCGACAGGCTTTATTTAAGTATCCCAGGCTGCATGGAGATGAAGGATGAGCAAGGGTATATCATTGGTAGGTAGCGTCTACTGAATAGGGGGTGAATAGGAAGTGATAAAGCAAATGGACCAGAAGATACAAGTACATACAATTGTAGGGATAATATTGATGATCTATGTAAACAGAAGCCCAGGTGTCTGTGTTGTTGCTACCTCCACATTTCAAAGTGGGTGGGTAGTGGAATGGCTCTCAGCTCTGTGTGGGCTTTGCAACATATTCCCTAGCTGAGGATGCCAGCAGAGGTTCAACACATGCCTAGATATATGTTTAATGGCTTTAAGTGTGGGTGGTAAAGGGGGCTGAAAAACAGCCTGGGGCAAGTCTTTACTGTGGGCATAACACTTAGATATAGGAAAGCCAAAGCACAGAAGAATTAAGTGCCTTGCCCTGTATTACACAGAAATAATTGACAAAGTTGGGAGTAAAACCATATTTCCTGACTTCCAAGTCCAGTGCTTTAAACAATGGATGACAGTGTGTCCTTTCTGCTGCTTATCACTCTCAGAAGAGATTCCTAAACATTCTTTTTAGTATAACTGATTCTTATGTGGACAGGGATCCCACAAACATCTAAGATGAAACTATTATGCTTTGGTTTTTTTATAAATTTTAAAATAGTATATTTATTACTGAAAAGAAAAGAAAATTAAGAAATGACTAGCAATTGTGCCACATTTTTGTGGTGGATTTAATGGAGTTTACAAATGGTGGCTAAGAGTAAAATCAGATACTGTGTAACTTGTAATCTCAGCCATGATATGTCTCTGTGTAAAAAGACGCTGTTCTATTTAGCCATGCCCTGCTAGTCATTAGAATAAAACAAGGCTTTATGGCCTATTTTTTCAGAATGAAATCTATTTTATTTAATTTATTTTTAAAAGACTTGATTGTTTTACTTAGTCAGGGCACACTTCTGATTTCCTAGAGATTGTCTACAGCATATGCATATTTGCAAAAATAAAGGTACTATCATGTAACTACACTTACGGCAGGATCAAACACCATCTAGACCATTCCTGAAAAGAATTTGTCTAACCTGCTTTTAAAAATCTCCATGATGAGGATGCCACAACCTCCATAGAAAATGTATTACATTCTCAGAGGTTAAGGAGAAAAAAAAATTCTCCCTTCTCCCTTGTGAGAATTTGGAAGTGGAAGGCATTTGGGTGAAAGTGATCATGAAACCATAGAGTTCATGATTCTAAGGTATGGTAAAAGGGAGAACAGATTAGAGACAATGGATTTCAGGAAGGCAGATTTTGGTAAGCTCAGAGAGCTGGTAGGTAAGGTCCCATGAGAGGCAAGACTGAGGGGAAAAACAAATGAAGAGAGTTGGCAGTTTTTCAAAGGGACATTATTAAGGGCCCAAAAACAAGCTATTCTGCTATGTAGGAAAGATAGAAAATATGGCAAAAGACTGCCTTAGCTTAACTGTGAGTTCTTGCATGATCTAAAAATAAAAACGGAGTTGTATAAAAAATGGAAACTAGGACAAATTACCAAGGATGAATATAGGCAAACGATACAGGAATGCAGGGGCAAGATTAGAAAGGCAAAGGCACAAAACGAGCTCAAACTAGCTACAGGCATAAAGGGAAACAAGAAAATATTCTAAAAATATATTAGAAGCAAGAGGAAGACCAAGGACAGGGTAGGCCCATTGTTCAGTGAGAAGGGAGAAGCAGTAACAGGAAACTTGGAAATGGCAGAGATGCTTAATGACTACTTTGTTTTGGTCTTCACCAAGAAGTCTGATGAAGGAATGCCTAACATGGTGAATGCTAGTGGGAAGGGGGTAGGTTTGGAAGATAAAATACAAAAAGAACAAGTTAAAAATCACTTAGAAATGTTAGATGTCTGCAAGTCACCAGGGCCTGATGAAATGCATACTAGAATACTCAAGTATCTAATAAAGGAGGTATCTGAGCCTTTAGCTATCATCTTTGCAAAATCATGGAAGACGGGAGAGATTCCAGAAGACTGGAAAAGGGCAAATATAGTGCCCATCTATAAAAAGGGAAATAAAAACAACCCAGGAAACTACAGACCAGTCAGTTTAACTTCTGTGCCAGGGAAGATAATGGAGCAAGTAATTAAGGAAATCATCTGCAAACACCTAGAAGATAATAAGATGATAGGGAACAGCCAGCATGGATTTGTAAAGAACAAATCATGTCAAATCAATCTGATAGCTCTCTTTGATAGGATAATGAGTCTTGTGGATAAGGGAGAAGCGGTGGACATGGTATACCTAGACTTTAGCAAGGCATTTGATACAGTCTCACATGATATTCTTATCAATAAACTAGGCAAATACAGCTTAGATTGGGCTACTATAAAGTGGGTGCATAACTGGCTGAATAACTACTCTCTGAGAACGGTTATCAACAGTTCACAATCCTGCTGGAAAGGTATAACAAGTGGGGTTTCGCAGGGGTCTGTTTTGGGACCGGTTCTGTCCAATATCTTCATCAACGATTTAGATATCAGCATAGAGAGTATGCTTATTAAGTTTGCAGATGATAGCAAGCTGGGAGGAGTTGCAACTGCTTTGGAGGATAGTGTCATAATTCAAAATGATCTGGACAAATTGGAGAAATGGTCTCAGGTCAACAGGATGAAGTTTAATAAGGACAAATGCAAAGTGCTCCACTTAGGAGGGAACAATCAGTTTCACACATACAGAATGGGAAGCAACTGTCTAGGAAGGAGTATGGCAGAAAGGAATCTAGGAGTTATAGTGGACCACAAGCTAAATATGAGTCAACAGTGTAATGCAGTTGCAAAAAAAGTAAACATGATTCTAGGATGCATTAACAGGTGTGTTGTGAGCAAGACATGAGAAGTCATTCTTCCGCTCTACTCTGCGCTAGTTAGGCCTCAGTTGGAGTATTGTGTCCATTTCTGGACACCACATTTCAAGAAAGATGTGGAGAAATTGGAGAAGGTCCAGAGAAAAGCAACAAGAATGATTAAAGGTCTAGAAAACATGACCTGTGAAGGAAGACTGAAAGACTTGGGCTTTTCGGCATCATGCCCCCTTTTTGATTTTTGAGAAACCCTCCCCCCTCCCCAAATAAAAAAATAGTAGCAAAACTTGTTGAGCAAAAAAAAAAAAACTTACCGGGGCCAAAAAACAGTCACGGACCCTTTAATTCCCGGGACCAGTGTAAAAAAAAGGTGCCGGTACTCCAGGGGAAAAGCAGTGCATGTTCCGGCGGATTCCCAAGCCAGGAAAAACAGAGAATACCGGACATTTCACATGGTATTTTCTGATTTTTTTTTTTTTTTTTTTTTGCTGGATGGACCAGGCTCTTTCTTGGGGGGGGGGGGCTGGTTTCTTCATGCACCCCAGTTTGGGAACCTATGGTCTAGACAGTACTGGGTCCTGCCATGAGGGCAGGGGACTGGACTCGATGACCTCTCAAGGTCCCTTCCAGTTCTACTAGTCTCTGATTCTCTTTAACAACCTTTTAGGTACTTGAAAACTATCCTTCTCAGTCT